TTTACATTGAAACTAGTTTTAGGAAAGATTTTGGATTGAAACTTGTTATGTTTCGTTGTTAATCGAATGAAGTTTATTGTTTTGTTGCCATTAGATATCTGTTATTTTATGTTTCATTGTTGTTGGTGCTGTAAACAAGTTTTGGACCGGTTAAAACCAGTTCAATTTTTTTTTTCAGTTTTAACAAAGATCTAGATTTCGTAAATCCTAAGTCCTGCAATTTGTAAAGGACTCGGATTTTACAAATCCGACCTAATGCCTATCTGGGAGTTCCAATTTTTCAGAGAAACAGACGAGATCCGGATCACCTAAATCCGAATTTATACAACTCTGGATTTCCTTCATCCGTCTTTAATCAAAGAGGGGATCCGTATTTACAGAATCCGTTTGAACCCTTATTCGGATATCCGTAATCCGAGTTTAGCCAAAAAATTATTTTTCAACACTTATCATTTTTTTATTCCACCGGAAATTAATATTTTATTAGTGAATTCAGATTCGGGAAGTCCGTATTTTTATTAATTACACTAAATTCTTCCATTAACTTAATATCTGATTAACATTACACAAACCCGGATTTCATTAATCCAAATTTACAAGGATTCAGATTTCAGTAATCTGACTGTTACCTTGATTCGGATTTCTGAAATCCGTGACATATAGTTTTGTCCACATAATTTTTGGTAAGTTTTTTTTGTCCAAGTCCTTAATGTGCAAATATATTTAAAGAAAAAACTCTCAACTTCTTTCTGCCCCATATCAATGATCTGAATTTCAAATTTATAGTTATTCTTATTTATCTGGTTTACTTCTCCTTGTTTGCATTCCCGAGGTGTCGAAATTATTTTCGATCAATAGCTTAATTAGCCAAGTTGCTGAGTTGGGTGGTTGTTTTTTTTTTAATTTTTTTTTGGCTGTTATTCTTTTGGGTTCATTTGCTGGAGCTTCGTAGGGGCAGAAGATGATGTTAGATTACTGGGAATGGCAAAAGGTTAATCATAAGACGATTTTGCTTGAGTAGGGATAATCTGAGGTGTGGGATCATTTTGGTCCCCCGGTATTTGCCACATCCGCTGTAATTTGTGTTGTTATTATTCCAAATGTTATGAGCAAACATATTGGTTGTCATCCCGTTGACTTCTAATCTTAAATTACCATTGAGGAGATTTAAGATCATAATTTTAGAAAATTTTGAGCAGTCACTTGAGAGCTCTGTTGATAATACACACATCAATTGTGTAGCCTAAGGTTTTGATTTTGCTTTTAAGGTGAAAACTTATGTTGATATCCTAATACAGTGCCTTTCATATAGGAAGCAAGCTGCATGCTTCTTGGCCTCAATTGTGGACAAGCTCTTGAAACTATAACTCTCCCTGACCCTGCTGCTGCTCTTGCTTCCAAGCATGACTTTGATCTTCAGGTAAATATAATTGCCGTGGCTTGATGTTTGCATTATATACAGAGTCTGAAGAAGCTTGTTGAGTTGGGAGCTATGTGTTCCGTTGTTTCAGCTTTCTCATTGCTCCAGCGGTTGACTATTTAGTTCTGACTCAGTCCCAGACAACATGTCCACAGTGCAATTTTATTTATTTATTTATTTATTTTTGTGGTAAACCACATTTTTGTGTTGTACTGTTTTTAGTTCAATTTATAAATTACAATGTGGGCTGTATTTGTGGGCAGAGGGAGTACTATTTTGAAACTGACTCCTGGTTCTTTGAAGATTTTTTGGTGTCATGGTTGATTTAAGTTTAAAGTTGGATTTCTCCTTCCTTGTCTAGCTTGCGTAGGTTATAAGTTTGGTGCTCTAGAATGAGAAATTTTGGTTACAGTTTGGCCATTAATTTTCGCTGAGCTTGCAGATTTCCAGCCTCTCCTACATAGAACCAAATAAAGGATTTTGTTGACAGAAGTATCATGCTCTTTGGACTGAATCTGTTGGCTGTTTTTGCTTGATCAAACAGCCTACTGTCACTGCTGAGCAATGTATAGTAAAGAAACCTGTAGGCACTAGGCAGGACACTTGAAAAATTTTTCTCATGTAATCCCAAGATTTTCAAGCCTCTTAAATCTAGAAGTTGACCTCCGAGTTTCTACTTTTTGAATTAAGAGTCTTTTTATTTTGCATAACTATTGTGCCTCGTTTAGTTAATGATTGATTTTACGAAATGATGTTGTGCAAGTTCAGGCATACTCTTTTTGTGCTGATAAGGAGTCTCTTAGAGAACCTCGAATTGTCCGGGTTGGTCTTATTCAGAATTCAATTGCTCTACCAACTACAGCACCGTTTTCAGACCAGAAGAGGGCAATCTTTGAGAAACTGACGCCCATAATCGAGGCTGCAGGTGCTTCAGGGGTTGATATACTATGCTTGCAAGTGAGTCTCTTTATTGTAATTATCATCCTTTGAAATATCTCTTGGCATTTTATGTGTAACCAGTAATTCTTTCTTCTTTAGGAGGCATGGATGATGCCATTTGCATTTTGTACTCGTGAAAAGAGATGGTGTGAATTTGCGGAGCCCTTTGATGGGGAGTCAACACAGTTTCTTCAGGAATTTGCGCGAAAATACAACACTGTTATTGTGAATCCTGTTCTTGAGAGAGACATAAAACATGGGGAGACCATTTGGAATACTGTTGTCATTATTGGCAATCGCGGGAACATTATTTGGGAAGCACCGGAAGGTTAGTATGAACTCTTTTTTTCGGATGGTGTGCTGAGATGAACGAACCTTTCTGGCATTTGTGGAATGCAATGCGGACAGTTGGAAGTTTAGTAAGATCTTTACAGTAACTAATGAACCTTATAATGAAATATACAGAACCATATACCAAGAGTTGGGGACTTTAACGAGAGTACGTATTACATGGAAGGGAAGACCGGTCATCCTGTTTTTGAAACAGTTTATGGAAAGATTGCTGTCAACATATGTTATGAAAGGCACCATCCTCTCAACTGGTTAGCATTTGGCTTGAATGGGGCAGAGATTGTCTTCAACCCTTCAGCTACTGTTGGTGACCTCAGTGAGCCTATGTGGCCAATTGAGGTATCTATCGATTGTCTTCCGCAGTCTGTTCTTTTTTCCGGTGGAGTTATGTAATTATGCTTGTGAAGACTTTCCATTTTATGTTGAGAATAATTTGTTGACTGTAAGCAGGGTGTTATAATGCATACTAGCTGTTTCTGGAGAAGTGTTTTTCTTTTCTGTGGTTTATGATGTGTACAGGAGTCTTCTATCTTTCTTTATCCCTTTTACTGATGCACTTGCTGAATGATTGTTTGCAGGCTCGTAATGCTGCAATAGCAAATAGTTACTTTGTGGGTTCAATTAATGGTGTTGGGACTGAAGTCTTCCCCAATCCATTCACTTCAGGAGACGGAAAGCCTGAGCATGCAGATTTTGGGCATTTCTATGGTTCTAGACATTTTTCTGCGCCAGACGCGTCATGCACGCCATCGCTATCTCGCTTCAAGGATGGATTGATGATATCGGACTTGGACCTGAACTTATGTAGACAACTGAAGGACAAGTGGGGATTCCGTATGACTGCTCGGTACGAACTGTATGCAGATTTACTTGCTCGGTACGTGAAGCCAGATTTAGAGCCTCAAGTCATTTCTGATCCCTTGCTACATAAGAGCTCATAGACATAATACATTGCTGGAGATTTAAACAGTAGTTGTTGTAGAGGGCAAAAGGGAAAACAACATGGATTTGTTCTTGTTTGTGAATATCATTCCATCAAGATGCAGCTGAAACTTCAAAGTGAAGCCTGATGCTTTGAAAATGCTTTCAGTCAAAGGTTTGTTGCTGGTACACAGAGACCACTTATTGATGATCGGGTTGAAAAGAAAAAGCTGTTCATCCAAACAAAAAGACTGCATTACTGTGTTTTTGGAAGACCTTTTCTCCTTTCTTCAATCTGCTTCTTGTGCATATACTTAGATGACAAAAGGCAAATCATAAAAATATGTAGACTTTTTTTTTCCTTTTCTTCTCAAAAGTGTGGTGGACCAATAATAAGACTAGGATTAGTTATGGCATGGCTAAAGTATACAAAGTGCAAAAAAGTAAAATCATTATCAGCCCAAACAAAACAAATTTTATGCGGCTGCCGAATGATTTGTATTGACAATCAGTCATTTGCGTTGTTCCCCCCCATCAGCATTTTCTACGTGGCAGCTGTGATATTCTGAGTTCGACAACCCAGATAACATCCACCATATTTTTGTCACGACAGTAAACTTTTATGATATTAGTATTTAGTACAATACTTTTTACCCACTTATACAATATTCACATTGGATAGCTATTTAAATTCATCCTTTTATTATATTCTACTCCCCTGTCCTTAATATAAATAATTTTGATTTGTTTTAGGTTTAATTTAGTACGTATTTTTAATTGATAAAAATTTTTAAAAAATATTTCATAGCAATTAAGACAATATAACAAATGTGAAAATATAATTTTAAGTTTTTTTGTCAATAAAAAATACATATTAGGTGAAACCTATAACAAAATTTAAATGCCTCATATTAAGGACCGGAACGAGTAGTATTCAAGTGGTCGTGACTATGATTGAACCAAGAAAGTTTACCCAACAATTTCTCCCCTAAAGCCTCTTTATAATGACGCTTAGTGCTTAAAATTATTTTCTTAAATATTTTTTTAAGCATGTTTGATAATTAAAAATAAATTCTTTAATAAATTAAGTAGTTATGAAATCACATTAAAAAATAAAAAAAATTAGCTTATTACTTATTTCATAACTGTTTAATAAATTTAATATTTTTAATTCATTATAAAATATTCAGAGTTGATCACTAATTTTCATCAAACATACATGCCCTCCTTTTATTTTTCGTGAAAAATAAAAGAGTTTTCCACTTATATCTGCATAATTTGACGTCCCAAGTAATTTATCGTTCCACGTGGAAATAATTTTAATTTTAATAGATCAGCTTTTAAGTTTTAATAACCAGAGAGGAAAAAGGGGAAATGTAAAGAAATCAATAACATCCTTATCCACTTTAATAAGTTCGCCACAAAGTCCTCTTTCCCTCTTTCCGCCATTGTTTATAGTTTTATACAGAGCTACAGGAGGAGTACTGTTGCATTTCCCCCACAACGGCATCGTTTCCATCGTCTTCTTCCCTTTGTCTGGGCCCTGCAATTATTAACTTATTAATATTATTTTTGTTTTTCTCTTAATGTTATTATGGCGTCAATAGCGCCGCAGACTTTTCCCCCGCCGTCAACCCGGACGGACCCGAATCCACACAAACTGCTTTTCTCCAGCTCCAAATTCTCGTCATCCGGGCTGAAAAGGGGCACGCCGACTTTCCAGTCTCAGTCTATCTTTTCTCATTCTCCGGCGAGGTCAGCGCTCTCTGATTCTGCGTTTTGTCGTTGTAACAATTGCGGTGGTGGCGTTTTGGACGATGATTCGTCGGGTGATGATCAACCCTCGTTAACCCCGATGGGGCGTTGGGAATCGACTGTTCGAGACGCGTTCCGGAGTGCGTTTAAGACTGTGGATGATGTGAAGAACTCGTTTCTGAACTGGAATCGGGATAAGAGTGTGGGTCTATTCCCGGCGGAGGGCCGGATTGAATTGCAAGAAGGCCCCGGGTTTGGTGCTGACGTGGATGAATGGGATTGGGAGCGGTGGAAGAATCATTTCACTGAGGTTGATGAGCAAGAACGAATTGTTTCGGTACTCAAGGTCCGGTTTCTTTTCTTTGTGAAAGCTTATGGTACCTTCTTTTGAGGAAGTTTAAACTCGCTGCTTACGTGTTTTTATTGTATTCTATACTTATTATGTTTGCTACTTAGGAAAGTTTGTTGTAAGTCTTAAAGAGAAACAGAAAGTATGAGGATTTGAATTATATAAGTACAATTGGGGAAATTTTGGCCTTATGCTATTCTATAGTGGGCAATTTGCAGAAATGTTAAAGGTTACCGTTTGAGGTTGTAAAGACTTCAAACAGTATTTGAATTACAGTACTCAAAATTTAAACTGATTTTTGTGTAAGAAGTTAAATACATGCACGAGGAGAAGGGGACATGCACTTATGCAATTAGATGCAGACCATGGCTCATTGGTGGAATTTTTGTTAATTTTTGGCTCTCTGACTGACTGTGCTTTCTGTTGCATACTGAAGCTAGAAATAGCAAGTCTAGCTCTCTGCCGGTATTGTTATAATGTATGTCTTTAAATTTAAATTGAGAGAAATTCAACCAAAAAAAAAGAAATAAATAAAAGACCTAGAAATTGTTTGAGGAAAAAAAACAGATGAAGGTTGGATGGTATAAATGTAAAGTTATGGTACTTTTTCTCCTCACATTGAGATAATGTTGGTCTCTGTGGTTGTTTGGAGGGTTGGGGAGTGGAGGGGTAGGGGTGTATTGTATTTAAGAATTCTGGAGCGGTAGCCAATTGATACATATATTCTGTAATTTGTTCAAATGAAGAACTGTAGTCTTGTAATCTCTCTACCTGTGTATGGAGAGGTCTTAGAGGGCATAACAGAATATCTTAAAGAAGGTTCAATAAGATGTATGAGTGTGAGATTCTTGCTGGTGTGAATTCCTATTCAAACTTCATAGTCTGCTCTTTTGTGATTACATTCATGATTTGTGCCTTATGTGCTGTTAAGACTATTTTGTTAGTATTTTTGTTTATTCTGATGTTCTTTGTGTCTTTAATGACATCTTGTCTTCTCAACAGTCTCAACTAGCTGCTGCAATCAGAAGTGAGAATTATCAGGATGCCGCCAGGATTAAGGTGGCGATTGCTGCTGCGTCGACTAAGGATACAGTTGGCAAAGTGATGTCACATCTAAATGTTAGTATCTCTTACTGCTAATTTTGATCTTTGTTATTTTATTTTTTGGATAATTCTCTCATATTTTGGTCGATCAATCTTGATGCTCTATTTTAGCACCGTATCTTTGCTTTGTCAATGTCTCTATTAACTCCTTTATTGGAATTCTCGGTCTCAATCAGAGAGCTGTGCAAGAAGAGAACTATAAGGATGCAGCTCTTTTGCGTGATCATGCTGGTGCTGGATTGGTATGTGTTTAAATCAGGTTTTTCAAAACGTTTAATCTTTCAACTGCTGAGCCTATTATAAGTGCAAGCTATGGTCATCTTGCAAGGCTTGTTTTAAATTTGTACTTGAATTCATCTACCAATTCTCCAATTTAGTGAGGTGATATACATTGCATGGTATTGACTTGGATATATGAACGTGATATAAGTTTCCGCTTTGTATCCCCCAGAGGATCGTCTCTGATATGTCATCAACATAAGAAAACATAACCCCTATTAAAAAGGTATTTAAATGATGATTGCAGAATAAGATTTTCCTGGTGTCTAGCAAAAGTGATTGTAGAGTCTCTTGTTATCTATCAATCGCATACTAAGTTGGCACTTAACTTTCCATGGTTGCAGGTGGGTTGGTGGGCAGGCCTTTCTGAAAATTCTCATGATCCCTATGGTTGTATTATACACATAAGTGCTGAGCATGGACGATATGTTGCTAGAAGTTATAGCCCGCGGTAAACTTCCTTTAAAGTTGTTGCTGGAAAATCATGTTTGAACTGTTTTTTATAATTAGTAAAGGAGTTTGTCCTGAATGGCGAATGCTATGTGTAACACTGGATCAATAGCTTGTGAAAGTATAATCGCATGCCGTTGCTATTGATGGCTTCATATGTAATTACCACACTGGGCACTAAGAGGCATAACTATATAAGGGCATGCGTAGTTTGCTTAGCACTTTCTCCATGTTTGACTTTGGAATATTTCAACTACCAAAGTTGGATTTTGATGCATTACATTTCTGTTTTCAGGCAGCTTGTTTCAGCCATGGATGGCTCTCCAATGTTTGAGATATTTTATACGAAGAACAAGAAAGGCGAGTTCAAGCAACGGGTATGTCTTCAATTTTGTCATTGTGATTTCTATTGAAATTACTGATATGTAAGCCTTTTAATGGCTTCATCAGAATACCAACTGCGCTTTCTTGTTTGGGTGTTCTGGCGTGTGAGGGTGACATATTAGTTCTTAACAGGATACTACATTTTGTACTCAACTTTGCTTCCTATTTAGTGTCTGTGAATATGAATTGTGGATCTTTTCCTTCATCATCTGTGATATTCCCTGATGAAATACTTCCATTTTAACTACATGTTTTTAGGCTGTTTACTTAAAGCGGCAAAAAGCTCCGCTGGATTTTCCTGTTCCTTCTCCCAAAGCACCAAGTAATAACAACCTTGATCCACTCAATTCAGCTGGAGATAAAGGTGGCCTGTTGGATGAAAATATTGAAGATCCAGTGGATATTGATGAGCGGGATGAGGATTTTAATTTTGAGAATACCTTGAAAGACCTGATCCCTGGTGTGAAGGTGAAAGTTATGAAAGTAACAGCACCGAATAAATTGGACAGGGACTTCATATCTAAGGTTGTTGAACAAATAATCGAGGAAGAAGATGAAGAACAGGACTCTGAGCTTGAAAATTCTGATGCTGAAGATGAAATTAAAAGTGAAAATGATGAAGAGCAAGAAAATATCATTTTGGATGCCGGTAATGAAATTCCTTTCGGTGAAGAGCCAAGTCAAATTGCAGTTAAGGTGGTTGTTGGCGGTTTGGTGTCAAAATCTTCTAGTGGTTCCACTAAAAAGGACCTGCTTCGTGTACCTGCAAAGATAAAGAAAAAGGATCGTTTGTCATTTACCTTTACCATAGAGGAACATGAAGAGAATAAATCTGGTGAAAAGGGAAAGGCCCCACCAAACAAAAAGGCTAAACTTCAGGGTCAACGCAGTGTAGATCATGTGATGCTTGACCTTGCAAAAGTCATTGGGAAGGGGAGGATACCTAAGAAGGTAAGCTCTAATTCACTAACCAACATGCACTATTCATAGTCTTTCTTATCCCACAAAATGATTTGGTTTTAATTTTGCCTGTTATTAATAATCAGGTGCTGAAGGATGTTGGTGAACTGATAAATCTCACACTCAATCAGGCTCAAAATCGTCAACCGCTGTCTGGATCTACAAAATTCAGTCGCATTGATGTTTCAGGAAATCAGGATCCATTGAATGGTAGTTATATCTTGATACTTGTCTTTCTCTTTATCATCTTCTGCCTGCTAAAGTTATTGTTAGCCGTTACTTGTTGATTTCTATTTTCAACACGCTCTATGCGTCTGAAAACGTACTGAATGTCCGTGCTCTCCAGGGCTATATATAGGTGCTCATGGCCTCTATGCTTCAGAGGTCATCCATTTAAGACGCAAATTTGGTCAGTGGAAAGAAGATGATCGTAAGAAGGAACCTTCAAATGTCGAGTTTTATGAATATGTAGAGGCTGTTAAAGTAACAGGGGATCCTTATGTACCAGCGGGCCAGGTAACTTTCTATTAGTGGATGAATATATGATACTCATTCCCTGTATCCCATTGCTGGCTGGGAATTTTTTGTCCTGAGTAGAGGGGTTTTTTTTTTTCTTCGTGCATGAAGAGAACTAGAATGCATCTTGAGAACAGCGTCTGATAGAGAAAGTGGCTAACAATGCCTCACAGTTTGAAACTGATTTCTCCTCAACTTTCTCCACACAAGTGGCAAGATCACGCAGTTGGAAAACTGCATGGCATCTTAATCTTTGATCGTGCAGAATTTATGTTAGCCGTGTTATATTCTGAATATTATAGCTTCCAAATTAGTACCAAAATTTTGATGGATTTACCCTTGTAGAGAAAGAGAAACATTTTATATTGCTAATATGTATACTTTTCAGACAGGAAAAGGGAAAAATGAGTTGTATAGTATTTTGGAAGGTTTGATACATGAAAAAAGACCTCTTTAAAAAATCTGCTTTAATGTGCATGTTTGGGACTCGTCTGCTTAATCCATTGCAGTTCAGTACCCTCTGCTTATTTTTTTTCCCCACTGAATGGTAGAAATGTTGCTCTTGCATGGTGTTACATTGTGCTTTTGCCTGTTCAGTGTTTGTGATTTCAAACTTGCGGGGATGTTAAAAATTTTGCTCGCAATACCTAATAACAGCTTTTAAATATTGAATATGAGCTTTTGCAATAAATGCTTAATTCCAGGCTTTTGATTTTGCAGATAGCCTTTCGGGCAAAAGTTGGGAAAAGGTATCAGCTACCTCACAAGGGGATTATTCCAGAAGAATTTGGGGTGGTATGTTGCTGATAGAAAAATGTTTTTCTACTGCTTTCATCAATTTTCATGCATTTTCTAGAGCAATTACTCATGCTTGGCGCTGTAATTACTCTGAAATGCTGCAACTTATGGTATTGATGCAGATTGCTCGTTATAAGGGACAAGGCAGGCTAGCCGAGCCAGGATTCCAAAATCCTCGTTGGGTTGATGGTGAACTTGTCATTCTGGATGGAAAGGTGATCCATTTTCTATTATCATTCATATTTTTACTTGTTTCTTGCAACTTTTCCTTCTTTCCATAGGGTTCAAATATGTATATAACTCAGTAACTCCTTGCAGTACATTAAAGGAGGGCCTGTTGTTGGGTTTGTGTATTGGGCCCCTGAATTTCATTTCCTGGTGTTCTTCAATCGATTGAGGCTGAATGAGTAAAGTGTGCTCTTTCCGGGTGGCTGTAGGAGATGGAATAATGAAACTGCGGATGCCTTAGTGAAATTTGGTTTATCTTGTCCAATTGGAGAACTTATTTTGCCAACACCTCCGGCCAGTATTAAGGAGAGTGTAGACTTAGATAGGATTACTTTATTCCGAACTACTCGGGATGTGTAATTAAGCCATTGGCTTCCCTTCTATGTATAAAAAAAATTAAAAAAAAATTCCCTCATTAAATCATCAATAGCTTAGGCAGTACTCTAGTATGATCATCAATAGCTTAGTAATAACATGGTGTACATGTGTTTATATAAAATCATCAATAGCTTAGTTCAGTTCAGTACTTAAGTATGATCATCAATAGCTAGTAATAACATGGTGTCCATGTGTTTATATAAAAATCATCAATAGCTTAGTTCAGTACTTTAGTATGATCGACTGGTGCTGTTAATCATATGGTTTGCATCTTAGTAATAAATGAAAGAATCTATTAAAAATGATGATTAAGAACACAATCACTATGAAGGTTTGCATACCTTTCTTTTTCTTTTTTCACTACTTACAAATAAAAAATAAAAAAATAAAAATTCTAACAAGATCTATCATGAAAAACAAGGAATAAGAGAAAAGGGAAAAAAGAAAAAGAAATGGTTTTGCAGAAGGACAATTCGACACCAAGAGCAAATGATGCAAATGACAAAATTCACAAATTGAAATCCATTCTTCAAGAAGACAAATGCAATTGGCTGGTAGGCCAGTCTAATCAATCTCCGCACTGTGGCTATATTCCCTTGTAAACACCTTCCCAATTTTCACCAGGAGAGGGTAAACCAGATCGATGCATATATACTAATACAATCTCATCAATTTGATTATGATGACGTGAAAATCCGGATTATATTTTAATGTTAAAATTAGTGTTTGATTTGCTGTGATAATGGAATGAAAGTGGGATCAGTCAAAACTTTCTAAAGACCACAAAAAAATATTTTTTCAAAGAATAAAAGAAATCTCGAGTAATTGAAACTACGACGTTTTATCTTTCTTTCGTTTTTTTTTTTAAAAAAGAAGCCCGCCGGAACTGGGCGGTGATGGGCACTGCTGCTATGCGCTCAGCCACTCTGCTGGAGGTGCTTTCCCTGGGAGCCAGGGCTTGGATAGGTTGTTGGTACCGATTTTTTTGGCCGGCCAGAGGTACTCCAGCCTATCCAAGCCCTGAGGTATTCGATTTTTTTGAAAGTCAATACTTTCTATTTGTCGGTGGCAATTTAATTCATCTCATTTAGCTCAACTTTAATAAAACTATCTCGTGATTATTTCGCTAGGTTGTGAAGTTAGCTATGAAATTTGTATTTTCGGTGTTTGGAGACATTGTAGGAATTATGCCTTTCGTAATCTTGTGCACTTTAGTTAGTGACATCAGGTATCACTTAGGTGTCTATATTTACTGGCTAGATGCAACCTATGGTTTGCCACCTGGAGTTTGATGATAAGAAGCAGAAAAAAATCAAGTGAGACGTCTTAAGTCTCTGCTAATAAACCTCCTACTTCTCATGAAGCACAACAAACATATGGCATCCATCCTTTGCCTGAGTTTGCATATTATTTTCCCTATTGTAAGCTGCTTTGACTTATCTGTATGTTTTTTGCTTTTTTAGCTTTGAAGGGGATCACCTCACGTGTCTACTGAAGTTAAGCTAGCAGGTAACACAAGTTTTGATAAATGTGATTATATTTTCATTTTTCCTGTTCAATTAGAAATGATATTGGTGAATACAAGGTGTGTATGTTTGATATTGTGTTTTTTCTATTTATTTCAGCTGTGCGGTGGCATTTTAAGCTCCTATCTCTGTTCAGTTGAGCTCAATCAACTTAAGCTGCCTTGAGCTCCCAAAGAGCCTTGTTTGGTGATATTGAAGGAAGAATGGAGTTACTTAGTTACAAAATTCCAGTGATTCCGGGCTTAATTGGTAAATATCTATGGCCAACTTTACTCTAAATTTACCCCTTTTTTTAAAAAAAAAGCTGGCATCTTAGTAAACCATTTCCTCACCATAACATGTTCAATCAGGATGAAGAAATCAGAGTACTCGCATCTTAGCAGCAGTTGCGGCAGCTTGTACTCTATATCTAATCGTTTATTGACTTTCAAAATAGCCAATGGGGTGATATCCTGGGATCGTGGGGTATGAGAGCTGTGCGATAGGAGTGAAAACGCTTGCCTTTTCCACCTACGAATTTTGAAATCACATTTTCTAATGATGGTAGAAGCTACACCAAGTCTCCAAGTATTGCTACTAAGATGGAAAATTTGTGGTTTTGTACTTTCATCTAGCTAGACTGCTTTGTATATTGTGAAAGAATGGTCAATGTTCAATGATTTATGTACCTCGTTACATTTACTTCTTTATTGGTATAAAATATATTCTTTATTGAATGATTGATTTTCAATTTTATTTTAATTTAAAATATATTGTATTATATTTACTAAATTGATCTAAAAAATAATTGGATAATTCAAAAAAGAAATAATTAAATATTATAAATAAAAAATACAAATTTTATACAACATTTAAAATCAATAGCATTTGTTTTCTAAATTAAATTAAAAAAAACTATGTGTAACAACTGACAATTTTAAAAGACATTATTGGATATCTTAATAGCTTATTAGTTAATTCACAAACTTATTGCTACACAAATACCTATTGCCACATTGGAATGGAAGACACTTCTTCAAAGTGTCTCAATAGTTTAAGTGTCTCAATAATATATACATTAAGACACTTGCAAGTGTCATAAAATGGGGAGTTTTCTAGTAGTGACCCTTTGTAAGCAATTTTCAAATAGCGATATGGCTTAATGGGAAATTTTTAAAAAACACGTGCCATGATAATAAAAGATCGTAAGAAAAATTTACTTCAAAGTAGTAGTTATATCTTATTTTCCAATAACTAAATTAATTAATATTTTTAAAATTAAAAGGATATTGCATTCTATTATTTAAGAATAAAATCACTATATAAAAGGGATAAAATCATTTTTAAATGTAACTAATCCCTTCGTGATAGGGATTGAGGTTGACAGGATTCTATCTGAAATCTTAATTTACATTTATTGTTCAATCCTACTACCAATATAGCCTCTTTTCTACTAAAATAGAAAATTAACAAATTTCATAAAAACAAAGCGGCCAAAATTTATGCTACAAGTAAAACTCAAGATTTAGTTTGTTCCTTTTTTTCTCCTTTTGATCAGAAATTCTTTTGCATCGTGATAAGATTTTTATCTGCAGAAGCACTCATCTTCTGTAAGGTAATTTTTTATTGAATTTAAAATTAGTGATCTAAAATTTCTATGATCAATTGTTGGTTAAACGTTAATATTTTGATCAAATACTTGAACTCGAAATACCTTTTTCGTATAGTATATCTTACATTGGTTTCACCACGTGCAACGCATAGGACAATCACTAATTGAAAGTAAAGAAAGAGACACATATCACATCTTGGCCACAGGTGATCTCCACCCATTAAATGGGTAGGAAATAACCAAGGATAATGATACATTCATTCCCTTGCATGTTTTTTTGTTTCTATTTCTTGGAAATAGTCAAGAATAAGATATTGGAATCATGTCAAAGTTGGGTGTGACATTCACACGTTTTAACTCAACTACTATTGATGAACTGAACGGACAAAAAACAGAACAAGTTCATTAGCACAATATCTAAAGTCTCAAGTCACTTAAATTCTCAATAAGTGCTATCAATGAACAAACATATACCACATAACCTTTATGTTTCCAGCGCGTGTGGCGAGATTACATGGTACTAGTTGAATTTTTGGTTCATCATCAGCTCTATTCGACGGTGCACCAAACTAAAAGCCAAAAAGGTGCAAACTTCTACCTCTTTTTCAGATCCAGGAAGGTGGGGGTGCATCCCCCACCACAACCCTCATTACCTTGTTTCCAACATCTTTAGACATCTCACTTATGACCTTAAAGGTGGCATCTTTCTTCAGTTTCTTCTCTAATGCCCTCTCCATCTGCTTCCTCTCACATTCCACGTCTCTTTTCATACAAGCAGCTATCCGGAGAACCCCAAATTCCTTTGATGGCAGCCCCGAATGGGAGAAAACCAGGTGGTCTATGATTAGACACCTTTGAGAGATGGCCAATCATTCCACTCACGCATTTTTGCCATAGTTCTCTCATTAGATAGATAGGAAAAACCTGTTCCAAAAACAAAGGCAAAGGGAGGGAGTACGTTGTCCCTGACAAACCGAAGGTGGGGGTGATATTTTGGGGAAAGAACCTCATCACGCATGAGACGGAGGTGGGTATAGAGTTTCTCTGGGAACATGATTGAGGGTTAGGGGGTTTCGGTTGATGATTCTGGATTTTGAAATTTGGTAGGGAAGAATAGATTGAAGGGGATGGAAGTTGTAAGAGAGAGAGAGAGAGATAGAAAGACAATACACGGATGGCGGCTGAAGGGTTTTAGAGTGATCATTTACTAGTATTTATATACTAGTGGGACAATAAGACACAATGAATGGGGATTGGGACAATAATAAACAATGAATGGGGATTTGCTTAAAAGTATTAAAAAGGAATGAATGTGATAATTCTTTATTACTTTTCCTAGGAAGAAATATCGTTTTATGTATGTGGGAGTGATTAGAGTCTTGTCAAGTTACTTAAATGCTTTTTAGTCAAATATTTTCGTTCAATAATATCACATTTACTCATATAATTAAATGAGTTTAAACGACCAGTTCATTTGTTAATATTAAAAAAATAGTAATAAATGTTTCACTAATAACTTATCACTAAACACTTATCATTTATGATTTTCTCCTTTATTTTCATTATTGCAATAAAAAACTTATTTTAACATTACTTTTAATATTCTATTTTCCCTAGATAAATGAGATCATAGAGCTCGAGTATGAATTTAACTTATGAGTTTAAAAAAACATCAAACCTTCGAATTCTGCCCAAACTAGTTTGTTAATAGATGAACTTCCTAAAACGACAAGAGGTTTTTGTTTAAAGTTACACAACCTTAACCTTAGCCACCGACCACATTCGGACTTGTTGCTTACTTTCCATATGTACGAAAAGGAAAAAGAAAACCAAAAAAAAAAAAAAACACATCAATCTAATTCGCGGATGATACCATAATTCACAAATCTGAGAAGACTAAAGGATGACAAGATACCAAAGGTTAAATGTACAGATCCGAGAAGCAAAAGGGGATAAGATACTAAGCTTAACCATTAACGGGCCACTCCACTCCCTATTCTAGGAAGGATGATAATTCAGTAACCAACCTAAGTAGATAACTTACCATTTTTTTTTCCTTAAATCTCAATAGATCAACTCTATTCGACAGTGCACCAAACTAAAAGCCAAAAAGGTGCAAACTTC